GTAAGTATGTATAACTATTATATGACAAGAATGACATGAAAATGACAAACATATAAATCGTTGTAGATCACCATGCAACGAAAAGAGAATAAAGCAAGTAATGCTTGATTGCAAAAGAGTAGAAGAGACAAATGAATGAAACTAACAGAGAAAATGGCAGCGACTGGAATTAAGAGGGAATGGAAAGATATCAGAGATGCATAGCAGCGGTGTAAACTCACAGCAAAGAAGACTATTTCTTACTATCACAAGTGTGCGAGTGGTACAGGTGGAGATTCTGCCATCTCAAAACCTTCTGGGCTCGATTTCAAACACAGTAAAATTTTCCTGGAAAATTTTGTGGAGGATGGAGATGCCTACAAATCTTATAGCCTCTGAGCATTGAACACGGCCCAAAAGGCCTAAGGATGACGTCACGTACGAAACGGATCACGTCTCTCTCGAAAAACTTGCGAATTTCTTACTCTCATTTGATTAATTTCACAGACTTCATCTATCTCGGCAATAGCCTCCATCTGGTCCGCCATATTTGAGCGACTTGTCACTTTAAACATGCCCCTGCCCACATCTCCGAACAGGTCGCTGTTAGTCTCACGATGGCGTCTAATAGCGCGCTGTTACATGCTTAAAAGCGGTTCTGAATAGGCTTTTCCGCTAATAGCGAGCTATTAGCTGTTAGTGACCTTAAGAGTGACCATAAAATCGGTTCTAAATACGGTCACCTTTAAACTCACTAACAAATAATTTAAAAGCGCGGTATTAGCGCTAAAAGCGAGTTCTGAATACGGGCTTAAGCGTATTCCTCTATACAGGGTTCAGTTAGTAACGAGTAATCGGTGCGAGACATATACCGAATCGTTTGTGCGAAAAATTATGGTGAGTCTTCTGCCAAAGTATCAGCGGTTTACCACTATCTTCCATACGAGTGACTCATGCGACATTAATCTCCGCATCACAATCACCGCTGACAATGGTCGTTATACGACCCGGTCGATTGACTTAATCGGTCCGTATACTTACTTTCACCTTCGATCCGAGCACCTGGAAGGATTTTCAAGATCACTTCGCCGAGATAACGACGTTCTTCAGATACGATCTAAACCCCGATTACATTGTTGTTCAGAGGATGTCTTCAGCGTATAGCATAACATTCATACAGTCGCTCGGCTCGCGTATTATACACCTGGCGTGGGAACCTGGCACAATCGGGGAAGTGGCCTTACCCATCAATCAGAACACGTTTAACGGCTTAAAATGCCATCACGATATCTAATGTTAGCTCTGGCGTTTTCAGGCGTGACGCATTACCGCCACGCACTCTAAACACCATAGTAGATACACACCACTTATGGGAGTCATAACAAACCCCCACCACTGTCCCTATGAGTCATAGAGTGCACCGTGCGCCGGTCCCCCGCACTGCACTATGGCGCCACCCCCTCGCCTATGTGACCAGCTCTCCCCTCCACCTGCGACACAGTTGTGGCCCCCCCACCACGCGGTCCTAAGGCCCGAAACCACCCAGCAACAGCGTTGCATGTCCCCCAGGGGGCGTATCACGGTCGGTAATTATGCAGTGACTGCCGGTCGGTAATTTTTAATTATCCTAAGGAGGTAAGTGTCCCATGGTGAAGTAGAATACAGTGTTTTTTTGTAAGAAACGCTACATATATTATAAAGCTGTCTGGTGTGATACATTTTCGATGATTAGCCTGAGCCCTGTATAGAGGAATACGCTTAATGTTTTATTACCTACCGCCCGTTACCATTATTAACAAGATACGGGGAGATGGAGGTGAAGGAAACAAAAACAGAAAAAATAGGTATTCTTAAATATATGTCGTATATTGTAAGAAACAGTAGCTGTACAATTTTATTAAGAGAATAAACCCTTAAACATGACCGTTCTGGGCAGCCGTGGTGCTCCGCACGAAGGAGAGGTACTCATGGTTATACAGGGAGAGTAGCTCTACCAATAACTGATAAAGAGCCGGCGACCACAGGCCTTTCTTTTCCAAAACCAGCCGAAGATCGTCCAATATGTTGTCCCTGGAGGCGTCATCCCCGCGGCGATCGAGCTCCGCAATCAGCGTGTCTTTGCAGCTGTTAGCGCTGTCGGTGATCTCGCATAGTCTGTTTATTTGGACGGTCACGCAGCGCAAGACCCTTTGGAGATTAAGGTACGACACCCTCTTCATTACGACCACGGGTGTGTACGCTCTAGCTCTTTTAATGTCCGAGTCGTCGTTACTCGTAGATATCGGCACCGATGGTTTGAAAATAATGGCCCGCTCGCCATATGAGTACGTGAAGATTATTTCGTGAGCGGGCGTGGAAATAGGTGTGTTAAAATCCTCAGGTACCTCCTTGATGTTGTCCTCGGCGACGAAGAACCTGTCGATGACGGGGAAGTGTTCGGCGACGATGCCCCACTCGCTAGGTTCAAACTCCACACCAGAATAATCTTGATTAACGAGGCGTATTACAGACGACAAGCTTCCCGATCGATTTAAAGAGAAGCCGGTA